TCAGTCTCTGGCCCTCTGCCTCTGGCCCTCTGTTTCTGGACCTCTGCCCCTCTCCCTCTGGCCCTCTGTCTCTGGCCATCTTTCTCTGACCCTCTTTATTTGGGCCCTCTGTCTCTGGCCCTCTGCCTCTGGCCCTCTGCCTTTGGCCCTCTTTTTCTGGCCCTCGGCCTCTGGCCCTCTCCCTCTGGCCCTCTTTCTCTGACTCTCTTTTTTTGGGCCCTCTGCCTCTGGCTCTCTGTCTCTGGCCATCTGCTTCTGGCCCTCTACCTCTGGCTCTCTGTCTATGGCCCTCTGTCTCTGGTAGCCCTCTGCCCCTGGCCCTCTGTCTCTGGCCCTCTGTTTCTGGCGCTCTGAATCTGGCCCTCTGTCTTTGGCCCTCTGTCTCTGGCCATCTGCCTCTGGCCCTGTCATCGCCATGTTACTGGAGACTATGGAATACACACCTCAGTGCTTCCGCGTCCAAACTCTTCCCTGTGTTTCACTGTTGTCGGGGTTTCTCAATCTTGCCAGGATTGATATCCTGGCAAGGTCGCTAATGTCGGGGTGTCTCCCTCTCTGGCCAGTCACCACCAAGTATTATTAGTGATGAACATGACTTATCATAGCCCCACTGGTCTTCACTCAATCCTTACGGTGCCACTGTTCACCCGGAGAGTCTGCCAGTCTCTCTCCAGCCGGCATCGTAGCCAAAGACGAGTGACAACACGATCACTTCACTTGATCATGTGCCCGCCCCGACAGAGGGCTCTACCGCTCACTATAGGTCGCCAACTGGTGTTTACCGTGTCCAGTAACACCTCAGTGGAATAGTAATATAGTAGTGATAGTAGTGACTCAATAGAACACTAATCATTTTGGTATCAGGTAAGTATTTGTTTAAATCACTCTCTCTCTTATATAGTCTCAATAGCAACAAAGTAATGGAGGGATAACACAAACACGAAGGTGGTTTTGTAGTTTACTTAAAAGATTAAAGAATCATAACTCTGGAACAACAACAATGTGAAGGAACAAGCGCAGCCTCCTCTTCGCTTCTTCACAATTCTGGAACACTCAAGGCTGTCGCGGGTATTCCCACGCTCCAAATACAGTGTTATCGAACGCTTGGCAACTCGCGAGATGCCACGCCCACTCTCTCTCTGCTCACAGTAGAGTGAGCAGAGAGAGCATGAGTGAGCATGACACACTGCTCACTTCTCACAATATTCGCTGTACTCACAGTATTTTGGCGTGAGGCGCCTATTATCCCTTCATGATCACAGTATCTCACTACACTGGCATTAACACCATAAATCACCATACATATGGATATACTACTCAATAACTCCATATATATATATATATATATAAATCACTTCATCAATATTTAATATAATAATGTAACACCAGGCACACAGCCTCACACTACTAAGTTGTACATTTATATATATATATATATATATATATATATATATATATATATATATATATATATATATATATATATATATATATATATATATATATATATATATATGCAATTGACGATCACAAAACACTGATCATTTTATGCGGAAAATCCACAGAGAAATATGAAATGAGGTGAACGTTTCGGCTTTGTTAAAGCCTTTGTCAACACCAGACTGACTAAGGAGAAGGGAGAAGGGGGAGGATATATAGGCCGACACCTGACAGTCTGGTGTTGACAAAGGCTTTAACAAAGCCGAAACGTTCACCTCATTTCATATTTCTCTGTGGATTTTCCGCATATATATATATATATATATATATATATATATATATATATATATATATATATATATATATATATATATATATATGCGAACAAGCCTGAATGGTCCCCAGGACATATGCAACTGAAAAACTCACACCCCAGAAGTGACTCGAACCCATACTCCCAGAAGCAACGCATCTGGTATGTACAAGACGCCTTAATCCACTTGACCATCACGACCGGACATAATGAGGTGATAGCCGAGGCTATTTGAACCACCCCACCGCCGGCACTCGGATAGTTATCTTGGGCATAGCATTTTACCAAATCACCTCATTCTTTGGGGCAACACGTGAGGAACACAAATGCGAACAAGCCTGAATGGTCCCCAGGACATATGCAACTGAAAAACTCACACCCCAGAAGTGACTCGAACCCATACTCCCAGAAGCAACGCATCTGGTATGTACAAGACGCCTTAATCCACTTGACTATGTCCGGTCGTGATGGTCAAGTGGATTAAGGCGTCTTGTACATACCAGATGCGTTGCTTCTGGGAGTATGGGTTCGAGTCACTTCTGGGGTGTGAGTTTTTCAGTTGCATATGTCCTGGGGACCATTCAGGCTTGTTCGCATTTGTGTTCCTCACGTGTTGCCCCAAAGAATGAGGTGATTTGGTAAAATGCTATGCCCAAGATAACTATCCGAGTGCCGGCGGTGGGGTGGTTCAAATAGCCTCGGCTATCACCTCATTTTGTCCGGTCGTGATGGTCAAGTGGATTAAGGCGTCTTGTACATACCAGATGCGTTGCTTCTGGGAGTATGGGTTCGAGTCACTTCTGGGGTGTGAGTTTTTCAGTTATATATATATATATATATATATATATATATATATATATATATATATATATATATATATATATATATATATATCCTCTGGCACAAACTTATAATATAAATGACATGAATATAAACGTCTTCATCACAGAAATCTCTTCATTGAACCACAGGTGCAATCACACACCATATATATATATATCTCATGAGAGCTCTATAGCATCTCCTCACAACTGTGTTTCACTAGAAACGTAGACATTGGTGAGCCCTGCTCACGACATAGAAGATACTCTGGCTAATAGCTTACTAAAGGGGAATGGGAGGGAAAACTGAATTACCTACTTCCACCATCAATGATTTGGTCTCGTCCTCTGTTGAGAGTTGAATTGAAGCTCCTGGTCCCGGCTCTCGACTCGTTGTAGGGAACACCCCCACACACACTGATGCTCTTCCCAGGAACTCAACCAATACCCAAAAACGCGTCTTCTTCGTACTGCTTCTCTCTGCAGGCTCTGTGCTCCTCCACAACCTCTTGAAGGGTTGGAGTTGGTCTCCTGGCCGTCGCCTCCTCCTCAAAGCTACGTCTGCAGTCCTCACTCACGGCTGCAGTCGTTCGTATTCCCAGCTAGTTCGTCCTTCTCCTTCCTCACGGTGGACTGGCCCAGCCGCTACGTCATCACCCAACTGGTGAAACTGTACAGTCCTCCTGGACGTCACTGCTCAGACTTCACTTCTTGCAAAGCACCTGTCACTGGAGCACTTGTTGCTCGTTTCTCGTCAATTACTTCTTCTGTCCGACACACGGAGTTTAGGAAAACCTCACAGGGTACTTGCAGACCACAGGTGATGCGTAAATCCACTGGAGTGGGGTGAAAACAGTCAGACTGACAGGACCCCCGATCGCACGTCCGACCTCCTCGACGTGTCGTGTCTAACTCCTTGGCGCCACGGGACGCGCCGTCTGGACCCCCCTGCACTCGTGACGTCATACTTGCCAGGGGCGTTTCTCATTGGCTCCCTGTGCCACGTCACCGTTCTTGACGAATCTGGTGACACTGACGTCACAACGTCTTGGCGGGAAAACGTAGGGGCCAGCGCCATCTTGGCATCCTAAAGGGCCTAAGCCACTGGCCAAAACACTCTTCTTTGGCCAATTTCTCGCCAACGCGAGAACACCTCATGCTCCCACATAGGTCAAATTGTTCCCTGGAACGCAGAGAACGTCCGGGGTAAAGTAGATATGACTCTTACAGCTGGTGGGAGAAATATAAGGGTGGGGGGGGGGGGGGGTTGAACACCGTCACACTGTGTAGTTGAAATCTCTGAAAAGTTCCCAAGGAACACAAGAACCGTTACTCTGGAAGAGTAAATAGCAACACAAAAGCGTGACACAACAGGAGTAACTAGTCACAAAAGCGCTGTAACACACATATACACTGTTTACATTGTCCCCCCAAAACAAGCATTTCCCCCCCAAAACAGGTGTTTCGGAATGGCTTGTGTACACGTCACATATTATTTTTTAGATACCAGACATGAATCGTTTAATACCTGACGTAATTAATTTTAAATCTCATGAGCGTTATGTTGCCTGCAACATTGACAATTCCCAATGTAGCGTGAATTATGTTGCACACGATCCATGCAGTGGCAGATGAAACCTAATGTTCCTAGCGCGATGCCAGTGTCCAATTTAATAATTATTATTTTTTCGTAGGCAATTGTAATAATTGCAATAATATTTTATACATTTTTTTACACATGTTAATTTCGTCTAGAGGCAATTATTTCTTCTAAGAAATAGTTAAGAGGTTAATTTCGTTTAAGAGTAAAAGTCTCGTACATAATTGCCAGACTTGCCTAATAAGAGCAATTTATATGAAATAATAAATTTTTGTAAACTTTTCTCGTTGGAAATAATAAAGTTTTCGTTGCATTATACTTATTATTGGGATTAGTGTTTGTGTGTGTGTGTTTGTGTGTGTGTGTGTGTGTGTGTGTGTGCGCGTGTTTGTGTGTGTGTGTGTGTACTCATCTAATTGTGTGTGTGTACTCACCTAATTGTACTCACCTAATTGTGCTTGCGGGGGTTGAGCTTTGGCTCTTTGGTCCCTCCTCTCAACTGTCAATCAACAGGTGTACAGATTCCTGAGCCTACTGGGCTCTATCATATCTACATTTGAAACTGCGTATGGTGTCAGCCTCCACCACATCACTGCCTAATGCATTCCATTTATTAACTACTCTGACACTGAAAAAATTCTTTCTAACGTCTCTGTGGCTCATCTAGGTACTAAGTTTCCACCTGTGTCCCCTTGTTCGTGTCCCACCCGTGCTGAAGAGTTTGTCTTTGTCCACCCTGTCAATTCCCCTGAGAATTTTGTAGGTGGTTATCATGTCTCCCCTTACTCTTCTGTTTTCCAGGGATGTAAGGTTCAGTTCCTTTAGCCTTTCCTCGTAGCTCAATCCTCTCAGTTCCGGGACGAGCCTGGTGGCATACCGCTGAATCTTCTCTAACTTTGTCTTGTGTTTAACTAGGTATGGACTCCAGGCTAGAGCTGCATACTCCAGGATTGGTCTTACATAAGTGGTATACAGGGTTCTGAAATAAAAAGTATAAAGGGTTCCGTGTGTGTGTGTAAGAACTAACAACATCCTCAAACCTATTTTATCATAACCTAACCTACCTGACCTATCATATCCTAACCTAACCCAACCGAGCCTAACCTAACCTATGTCAGAAACGCTAGTATCCAGCCACACCTCCAAATTATCCAGCCATACCACCCTAATATGCATGCACACCACCATATTATCCAGCTACACCACCATATTATGCAGCTACACCACCATATTATCCAGCCAC